ATGGACTTCCTGTTTCTCTAGTACTGCATCGGTTCATACCAGCTGTCTCCACTCAGGCGCCTCCATGTAAGCTTGCGCTCTGTGTGTGTGCGGTGGGTATCCTGCATGTCGATACAGCCAAAAGCTTGCATTCAAGTGACTGGGAAGTACATGGGAGGCGATTCGGGGCCGCCTCCAAGAAATAAGCCAATTGTTCTGCTCCGAGATAGCGTGGCTAACTACCTGGAGGTCTATCCTAGCCCACACGACAGAGCCTGGCAAGCTACTCGTGTGCCTTCAATATGCCGAAAACAGCAATATGGATGGGCCTCATTCCCCTGAACCTGAGGGAGCCCCCAATACGGCAGCGTTGGGTAGGACCGCTCGGGAGAGGCTGCTAGAATCTCAGGGCCCGGATAGGCTGAAACGAAGAAGGACTAAAATGGCGATCTGTACTGAACATGAACATAGATTTGTACGAAATCTAACGACCCCAATCGGAAGATTGAGATCAGATGTGGTTCAACTCCTGCTTTGACAATCTTCGTCGCCTACGCACCAACATCCAGCTACGACGAAGAAGAACACGAAGCATTTTATATGGAATTGGAGAAGTTCTACAAGGAAGATCATACCTTCTTCAAGGTCATCGTCGGCGACTTCAACGCCAAGATTGGCCCAAGAAGAACGGCTGAAGAACTTCACATCGGTACTCACGGAATGGAATGGAATGAGCAGGGCGAAAGACTGTCTGAGTTTATCATGTCGACCAACACCATCCATGGTAACTCACAGTTCCAAAAGCCCTCTCACCTTCGTTGGACTTGGGAGTCACCTGATGGACAGTTCCATAACGAGATAGACCACATCATCTTCAATCGAAGGTTTTGCCTGACCGACGTCGCTGTTGTTCCAAAGTTCTACACGGGATCGGACCATCGTCTCCTCCGCGCAAGATTCCACTTCTCGATGCGTGTTGAGAGAGCAGCAAAGTTCAGGAAGCGAAGCCAGGACAGTCATCAACTGGGATCACTTCGCTTCCTCTCGTCAGCTTATGGGAGGATTCCGTCATCGAAAACATCGACGAGGAATACTATCGGCTCGTTGAACAGCCTTCACGAGATGGCAGGAAGGCAGAGAAATTAAAAATCACCTCAGCGACTGTGGTAACGTTCGACTTAGTACGCCAACGTAGAGCCGCACGAGCTGCAGGCAATCACCAACTCACGTCCGAGCTTGCGAAGCTATGCAGAGAGGCGAAAGGAAGATCTCAAGGAGCGAAGAGCAGCAGTATTAGCTGAAGCAGCAGAGGCTGGGAGGAGCATCCGCAATGCCCGCCGAAGCTTTGCCAGCTACAAGACCAAGATGACCTGCCTCCGACGTCCGGATGGAACAGTTACTGCATCCCGAAGGGCAATGGAGAAAGTCATCCACGACTTCTACTCGGATCTCTTCGATAGCCATGTCCATCTGCCCACTTATCAACTGCAACAGGATGGATACGTCGTTCCCTCAGTCCGACACGCCATCAAGTCGGTGAAGAATCGTACAGCACCCGGTCTCGACAGGGTCAAACCGGAACATCTGAAGAATGCACCGCCAGTTATCATCAAAACTCTGGCTCGACTCTTCACGCGCTACCTGTCGGAATGCAAGTGTACCCTTTCCGTGGAAACCAGCAAGAATGTGTTGCAAGGAATCGAAGATAAGGTGGGCCGAACACGTCATGCGATTTTTTGATGACCGTTGGACCAGAGCGGTTACCGACTGGATCCCTCGGGACGTCAAACGAACACCTGGACGACCGCCGGCCCGATGGTCAGACTTCTTCACGAAAGCTCTGAACGAAAGGAATGAAGGACTTCGTGTCCCTCGAGCGAGGAGGGTCCACTGGACAACTCTTGCACGCGACAGGGACGAATGGAGACGTTGCTGGCGCCCGCTCGAGCAATTCGATGATCAACGGGACGACAGGTGATACAGGTGATACAAGACCTCGTAATTTGCAAACTTGAAAGAATATTTTCGTAGAGCAGGCAGTTCTCATCCAATGTTATTGAACATGTTGTAGAACCATGAGATGAGAAGAAAATTTTCCATCTGACGAAGAACGATATATCAATCGAACAATCTAATAATAAGCACGGAGATATTCCTAGTAGACAATGACGTGGGAAACAGGACATATAGCTAACTTCCGGATTACCTTAGACGCTTTTTGATCGCGGCATATTATAAATCTTGTAGCCGGTAGCGTAATCTTACAGAAGCGGATTATCTTCGCCGGTGTGCCAAGTATAGGCGACGCTATGCACGCAACTGAGAACATAACGATACACAAAATCGATACCTAGCCAGAAATATGTTCTCCTCCGCAGCTGATAGAAAAATTGACCGACCTCCAGCTGTCGCATGTCCTCCATTCAAGGTGGAAGATGATCGTAATGAGGATCGCATCGGCTTTTCAGTGGACAAAGCGTGATGCCGTGCCCTACGTCTTAACTCGTTGATCCCCACGATTTCTCGCGTGGCAATGCTGAATAGTTTCTTAAGGTGTAGTGATTCAAAATCTGACTGGGAGTATCAAATTTAAACCTTGAGAGCTTCGTTTGGCAACTTTGCTCACGGCTTTCCACCTCGTCTGACTGGATCTCCACCTAAATTCACACTGTTATTTCACTGAGCTC